AGACAAACAGCAGAAACGTCCTGCTGGGTCACCAGGCCCAGATCTGCCCCTGTCCCAGCTGTGTCTGTCTGGGAGAACACAGCCACCTGGTAGGAAGGGGCTGCCAGCTCCTCCCAGGGTGCGGAGCAGCAAATGCTCAAGAAAGAACCGCTAAGCGAGCGAGCTGGCTTTGTGGGAAGGGCGCAGACAACTTAGCAGATTTCATCACCGGTGGGGACCGGCTAGCTCAGCAGCCTGCCACCCCTGTGTACCTCGCTATTGGCTCCTGGTAAACTGCTGTTCCCTTCAGAAGGCACATACCAGGGGGCTGGGGTACAGAGTGTCAGGATGTGGAGGTGTGACCAGGGCACTAGACTGGACTTTGGAGGCTGACGGGCCGGGGTGTGGATTTGCGCCATCTTGGGTCTCTTAGCTGTGTGACCTTGGGCAAGTCACTTAACATCTCTGTGCTTCAGTGACCTCATTAGAGAAACACACGACCTCCCTGTAGGGTTGCCACGGGATAACTGAACCAGCCTATACAGGATGCCTGGCCCAGGGCCTAGAACAGAGTTGGTCCTCAGGGCAGGTCAGGAGGGGAAGGAGGCACATTTTTGGGGAGAGAGACAAGGAGAAAATAAATTTGAGGAAATCCTTTTAAGAAAAAGCAAGGCACACATTGAACTCCCAGGTTAGCCAGAGACAGTAAAGCAGGCAGCGAAGCAGAGCCTGGTGCCAGTGTTTAGGGCCCAGGAACCAGCATGCTGAGGCTCCAGCCTTGCCTCGGCTTCTGATCAGCTGGTGTGAGCTTGGGGCAGTAGCCTCGATTTGCTCATCTGCCAAATGGGTGAAAGAGCTATCCATCTCCCTTGGGGGGTTCATGAGTCACTCACTGCACACAGATGCTCACGTAGCACCTGGCACACAGTGGAGCTCTGAAGCGGATGAAGTCACATAACTGACCAAGGTCCTTGAGCACAAGGTAAGCTTCATTCTCCTAGGGCTTGAGCTGTTTTCAAATTCTCAAAAAGCAAGCACTCACTCGTAATAGCCCCTTCCACATAACAACTGGCCCGAGGTCAGTGCTGGCCATAGCCCCAATACCTTCACATGGAGACTCTCTCTACATTCCTTGTTCCCTGGTGGGGCAGGTGACAAAGTAAGGATTTCTTTTTTTTTTTTTTTTTTTTTTTTGAGACAGAGCCTCAAGCTGTCCCCCTGGGTAGAGTGCTGTGACATTACAGCTCACAGCAACCTCCAACTCCTGGGCTCAAGCGAGTCTCCTGCCTCCGCCTCCCAAGTAGCTGGGACCACAGGCGCCCGCCACAACGCCCGGCTATTTTTTGGTTGCAGCCGTCATTGTTGCTTTGGCGGGTCCGGGCTGGGGATTCGAACCCGCCACCTTAGGTGTACGTGGCTGGCGCCTTAGCCAGTTGAGCCACAGGCGCCGAGCCCAAAGTAAGGATTTCAACCTGAGCCAGAAGCCGGCACAATTACCCCTCGACTGTATCTAACCATTGTACTACAGGGCCAATCCGACTGAGTTATCCAAGTGGACCAAACTGCCAAGCCGACAGCCTGTGTAAGCTGAGCCCAGCGTGGGGGGCGGACCTTCCCAGCTCAGGGCAGGGAAATGAGTGTCCAGCCAGGTGTGCTCTAGCCTCAGAGCCTCCGGGCCAAGACTAGATGGAGGAAACTGGGAGGAGCCCAATTTGTGCTGAGGTCTCTAGGAGGCTGAGACTAAGGCTGGTTGGGAGAGGGTGTCGGGGAGATGGCTCCTGATGGACGTGGGTGTCTGAGATGCAGGGATGGGCAGGTCATGGAGGGAACACAAGCCCAGGGTTCAGCTCTTGGCCTTGCCAGTGGAGCCTCACTTTCCTCATCTGTAAAATGGAAACAACTTCCCAGGTGTGGGGATGCAGTGGGCTAAGGGAAGGTGTGTCGGGCCACACACTTCAGCTCAGTGACTGACAGCTACTGACTCTAAATTTATAATACAACTGATCCCCAAATCAATAACCAGAACTGGAGTGTGGAGCTGGGAATCTGCCCATCAGCAGAATGACCTCAGACCACGCACAGACATCAGCTCTCAAAGCTCTTTGGTTGCCCCAGAAAGAACCCTCCAACCTCAGTTTGAATGCTTGTGGGCATGGGGCACTCACCCTCCGTGGCCAGCCTGGCCCAGCACAGAGCTCGCTGGTGGGAATCCCTGCCTTACTCTGAGCTGCCGGCCTGCACTGCTCACCCTCAGCCTTGTCAGGAAAGCACAATGAGAAATGACTGCGTTTCTCATGAGGCCAGAATCCCTGGGATGCAAGACCCATCTCCCTCACCCTGCTGTATCCAGACCCTTGCAGGTGGTCCCTGACCAGCCGTCCTGGCAGATCTGACTGCAGTGTCCGTGCAAGTGCCAGTGCGTGGTTAGTGTCACCATGCTGCCTGCCAGGACCTCCCTCCTTTCTCTCCCCAGGGTCCTCACTTGTTAGAACCCTGTGGGCTCTAACCAAAGCTTCAGACCTCAGCAGAGAAACTCCTATCTTCCTCCAAGGAATCCTGCACAGAAGCCCCAAATGTAAAATCAGTAAAGAACTGATGTCCCTTTAAATTAAGGCTGGGACTAGGGTGAGGCCACTGAGGCCTCCGTGCTGTAAGATTTCACAGCAGCCACCCTCAGGGTTGGTGAGTGTGGGGTAGGTGTCAGAGTAGGTGCCAACACCATGCTGTGCCCCGGCGCCTCTCTCCCCTCCACCCCTGCCCTGGCTTAAACCTCTTATCTGCCAGGGAACCCAGCAGAGGCCATGTGACCCAGTTTGAGAATCACAGGGCAAACACTAGGTCTTAAACTTTCAGATTTAGACCCACTGCTTAGACAAGTGGGACTGATACCCCAGAGGTGCTGCCACTGGGGGACAGGACCAGGCCCAGAGACTCCAGTGGGAGGGCACGGGTATGGGTAGCCCAGTGCTGGGTGCTATTATCCAAGGGTTTGCAGGCCTGGGGGACTCAGGGCTGCTGCCAAACCCAGTGTGTAAGGGGCCAGATCCTCCCAGTCACTCCCCACACCACCAGGGTGCTGACTAATCTCACTGGAGACAGCCTGCATCCATCTGGGAGGTGACCCCACAGGAAGGAATCTGGGAAGAAGGCCGGGGTGAGGCTCTCGCAGCGACCAGACTGCAGTGGAGCTTTCCAGGCTCGCAAAGCAAGAGCCACAATGCCGACGACAAAGCCCTCTCGTCACCAGGCATGTTAAGCCGGAAATATGACAATCACAGCCTGAGAGGTTTATTTTTCATCCAGGCCCGGGTGGCCTCTCTGCCCCCTTCCCCTGGATCAAGCTCCCATGGGGCAGCTGGTGCTTCTAACAGGAGCCAACGAAATTCTAGCTGCTTCTCTGCAGAGGAGCGAGGCCCAGCTCTGTGCACTTGAGAATTATCACACAGCATTTGGGAATCCCAGGAAGGTAGACATGTTTGGAGGCTTGCCTTAGAGGAGGACATTGGCCAGGGCCCTTGGATGACCATGTCCTTCCAAATCCTGAGAATGCCAAGGATGGGTAGCCCTGGGGCCGGACTTGAAGGGTGGCTTCTCAAGGGCCTTTAAAAGCCTGTTGTTCACGGTGGGGGTGGTAATTTCTATCCCTGTGTTTCAGATGAAACCTGCTCAGCCAAGCCCAACGGCATCTCCTTAACTCTTGGGAATATGGTGACAGCTAATGCAACGTGCTGGAGTCCTTTGGAATTATCAAACACCTGTCCATTGGAGGCGCTTTATTCGGAGACGCACCAGCTGAGAGTTTAGGGCTGCATTCCTCCCAGAGATTTAAGCAGGGAGAGGAAGAACTGCTGGGTGCAAATGGGGATTCTCAGGGCCAAGGAAGGGGGCATAGCGGGGCTCCTGACGGCTTCTCTCGCTTTCTGATGGGCTCCCTTCCCAGAGTTCTGCCACTGCTGATACCACTCAACTCTACAACTATAGGTGTGGCAAAAAGCCGCCTTATTTCTGAATCTTCAGAATGCAACGCAAAGGCCTCACACCTCTTCCGGGTAGCCCCTCCTGACTTCCCTCCTGTGCCACCTCAGATGGGAGCCCCTGGAGGCAGCCCCGGGCTTGGGTGCCCAGTGTGACACTTGGGACAGTTCAGCATGTGGTAGCCCACAACATGAATCCCAAATCCCCAACCACCAAAGGCTGTCACAGGGGGAATGGTACTGTTGGCTTGCCCAGAAATGTCTGCAGAAATGCATTCAACCATCTCTCATGGGAGACGGGTACGAGGTGGGCTGAGATCAGGGAGTCCTTCCTGGAGAAGGAAGTGTCTGCCTTAGGCTTGGGTGGCAGTGGGCTAAGTGGCTAAGGGCATGGGCTTTGGAATCGTATGTTTAATTTCTTTCCTTTTTTTTTTTTTTTTGCAGTTTTTGGCCGGGGCTGGGTTTGAACCCACCACCTCCAGCATATGGGGCCGGTGCCCTACTCCTTTGAGCCACAGGCGCCACCCCGTAGGTTTAATTTCTGCCATGGCTGCTTAGGAGCTGAGTGGCCCTAGGCAGCAACTGTCAACTCCCTCCGGGCCGTAGCTCCCTCACCTGTAAACCGCACCTGGATTTTGTAGAGCTGCCGAGAGGCTTTACCCAGCTCAGGGCCTGCTCAGCTCAGCTGTCCCCAGAGGGCACAGTGTCAGGGAAGGAAGCCCAGCCTTCAGGGCCTCCACCCATTCCAGGTCAGCTGCCCTTCCTGGGCCAACTCCCTGGGCCCAGGATTTCTCAGGGAAAGCATCCCTCCCAGGTTTTCCAGAAGGGCTCTTGGCTGGGTCAGAACCCCTCTGCATCTCTTGATCTAGTGCAGACCCTGGTCACCTGACCACAAAATGTGGGGTCATTGCCACCAGCCCCTGCCACCAATTTAGTTCCTGGCAAACCCTGCCTGCAGAGGACTTCACAAGGACAGACAGAGGAAGCACAGGAGACTCTCAGAGTCACTGCTGCCTGGGGACCTGGCGCGCTGGAGGCTCTCCTTACCCCAGAGGGCCATGAAGACGGAGAAGAAGACAGTGGCTGGGTTGTCGAAGAGGTGGCTGGCGCGGGCTGTGGCGCAGGCTGAGCTCATCTTCCAGTAGCTGCAGGTCTTGTCGCAGAGCGGGCACATGGTGATGTTACGTCTCTGGTCGCACATCTCCATGCTGGAAGAGAGAGGGCAGGTTGGGAGTCTGGGGCTGCAGGGATGGGCACTGCCTGGGTGCTGCCGGGCCCAGGGGAAGTGCTAAGCCTGAGATGGGGGCTGGGAAGGTCCCATAGGCCCTTGCTATGGTGGCTGTGACAGGGCACATGGGCTGGCTTCAGCCATGCCCTGTCCCTCCTTGCTACCCGGGCCAGCTTCACAGGTGTGTGACTTGTGCTATCACATGGGGCTGAACACAGAAGGGCCCTGCACTTGGTTTAATGAGCTGCTGTCTTAAAATGTGTAATAATTTTTTTTTTTTTTTTTGTCGCCCTTGGTAGAGTGTCATGGCATCACAGCTCACAGCAACCTCAAACTCTTGGGCTTAAGCAATTCTCCTGCCTCAGCCTCCCAGAATGCTAGGATTACAGGCATGAGCCACTGCACCCTGCCGGAGTAATGATTGTTGAACAAGGGTCTCATGTTCTCGTTTTACATGGGGCCCTTTAGCCTCTGTGGCTAGCCCTGGATGTGGATCCATCTGGGCTTGCTTTGTGGCAGGAGAGGGGCCTGAGAGTGTTTACCTTTGGGCATGATATCCAGGCGGCAGCATCCCCATTCTGTCCTCAAGCTGCCTCTAGGAGGAGCCAAGGCCCAGGCCACCCCTCCCATAATCTCTAGTGAGTCCTGCTCCATGGGCAGACAGGCAAGGCTGGGGACAGAACCCAATGGCTGCAGAAGAGATGGGGGAGCTCCCTGATACCCACACCTGCCTCCACTAATGCTAAAACACAATAATGTCAAGGTCACTGCTGGCAGAAGCTGGCCTGCGTGGATCTCCCACCTGGCCTGCACCAGCACTGGGGACTGTGAAATCTCATCCTCACAGATGTGGAAATGAGTCCAGAGAGGGACAGTAACTTCCTCAGGGCCATACAGCAGGGTGGGAATTGAACCCTGGTCTCTGTACCAAAGCCCAGGACCAGAATGGCTCTGGTCTGCTGCCCAGAGGCAATGGGAGGGTCTCTACAGAGTCTGGGCTAGCCTAGATGCGGTCCTTGCTTGCTATTCCTACTCTCTGTGATCCTGGCCCTGTCCTTTGAAAGCCTTTCTGGAAAATGAGGAGAGGGGTCAGATGGTCCTTCTAGCTCTGGCCTATCCTGAACTTTCTTCCAGCTTCCTGGGCAAGCACTGAGTTGAAGGGCTCATCCTCAGAGCTTACACGGTTATCTGGGAGAGAGCTGAAGTGGGTGGGTTCTTTTGTTTTGTTTTTTAAATTTCTGTATATACGTGAACTTAGGCACAGAATCATGCCTGGCTCACGGCAGTTGGTGTTTAATAAATATCTGCTACAAGCCACTACAGGCCCTCTGCCCAGCGCAGTGGGTATTCTGGCACAATTCTGCTCTTTCAGTATCAGTCACTAAACATTTATTTAAAAATTGTGGGCTCGGTGCCTGTGGCTCAAG